TATATATAGGTAACATTACTACAGTAAGTAAAACAAAAAAAAACAAAAAAGAATTTTTTTGACAGTATAGTAAAGTATAGAATTCGTTAAGTAACGGCTACAATAATGAATAAGAAAAAAATATGCAATTCCATTTAAAAAAACGTTGGTGACCTAGAAAAACATAATTTTATAATGACCATGTATGTCCTTCAAAACCATTTTGATTCTGATATAGACATACTTTGTAACTTAAAATTCAACAGAGATATTCAAATATCCAATTAATTCTAACTTATTCTATAGAAGATATATTTATCTTATGCTATTCCATGTGCAATAAAACAGTCCTCTTTCACGATTGTAAAGTTATATTTACATACATGTATAGCAGAAATACTACATACACAGTTTGAAGAACGTCTGATACTAATATATACAGATATATGTTATAAAGGTATAATATAGTAGAATTGCAATCGAAAATTTTTGTATTAGACAGACATAAGTAAATAATGACTATATTTTTAATTTAATGTTACTATTTGGTTTATATAACATTATTTTTTATGAATATAATAATTCAACAAGTAAAGGCAAAATTGTTGTTCCTGTGTACCAATAATAATAGGGATTTATATTTATAATATATTATGTTATAGTATTTATGATATATTATTTTTTAATATGAAAGTGTCTATCTCTCTCTCTCTCTCTCTCGTTCTCTCACACGCACACACTCTATACGTGTATGTACGTTCAACACACATTGATTTTTTTTTTAAATAAACAATATTATTGTATAGTTTATTTATAATTATTACTTCAATTTGAGATCTCTCTTATTTTTAACAAATGCAAATATTAAAATAAAAACAAAATAATTAATCATTTATTTTACTAATGAGTCCATTTTTTTCTTGAAATCAATACAAAATATATTAGTAATACTAAAGCTACATTTTTTGTAATTTTTATAAGAATTCGTTTACAAATTTGATCAAATATATCATAATCTACACAAGCGATGACATACTATCTTTCCTCCTTATTAAATTAAAAATATAGCAAGTGTTATTGCAAGATTTCTGAAACCATTTGATAATAATGTTAAAACTGTGCGACAGATACCTACATATTATAAACTACGTACTATAATTATACTTAATGCAAGCAATATAAACTATGTACAAAGATTTAGATTAGTCTAACTCTCCCACTTCCTTACTATATTCCCCAATCAGTGTGATTATTTTCTATCATTGAATATGTTCACAGCTGATTTCTTATAAAAAATATATATTATATATTTATATAAAATTTCATACTCTTTTCAGCCAACATGTTTCATACAAATTTAGCCCCATTCAAGATTATTTGATTTGTGGTTCTGAACTTACATAATCTTAATCTTACAGTTAGTCTCTTAGTAAACGAGGGACACTTACTTATATATATATATATATATATACGAGTATACTATATGATATAGTATATCTTTATATTAAATAAAAATATAGACGTATGTGTGTTGTGTTTTAAATCAATTATAGATAAATTAACGTTAATAAAGTTAGAAATGATAAAAGTACAATAGTGGTTGCCAATTATTTGTCTAATTGTTTGAGTACCCGAGCCTTCACGAAAATCGGGTCGAAAAATTCCAAGTAGCACGATAGCGCTTTTTTTTTATAAGAAAATACACCAACATGCAATTATTTTAGACTATCAGTTTGATGCGTTGATACTTTTAGACGTGATCGTGCCACTTGACACTAAAAAAACGGTTGAGATAAAAATTTTCAAGCTCATAGTTCTGTTGAGCTGCATTCATGACAAATTCTTAAAAGATTCAAAAAAATATCATAATAATTAATGACTGTTGACGTCTCTGGTTTAAGCAGAATACATGTACAATTTTTGTGTAAATATGAACAAATATTTTGATAACTTTATAAATAATGTAAGATATTTATTTTCCTAGAATATATTTACATAGTTTCAAATAATACAAACTTCCTCTTGTATTTAATATTGAAAATTATGCTGAACCTCAAATTGTCGACGATGCATACTTTTTTTCACTTATGCCTTGTAATTGTGTAGTTACACATTACGTGGAATACGCATCGAGAATAGTATTTAATTTTAATACATCTATTAAATAAAAAATTTAGATTGTACAAATGCTTTTTCTTGTTATATATATAATATAAATAGTTATGTGCCAATAATGATATTACAAATCCTATTTACATTTGCTTTGCAATGAGAAACAGCGCTTGTACTTATGAGATTAAAGACATTTAATTGTCCTGAAAACAGCTCAACCACAATGACACAAACACTGAACTCAGAAGCAAAGTTTAATTAACTTAAAAAGAAACGTATCTCATATTTAATATAAACTTAAATTATCATACATCTTTATGTTCAAATTATATATTGTGTAACAGTTAATTCGGTGCCTTTTAAATAAATTTAGTATTTATTTATAAAGTAATCATACATCCGTTATTTTGTGAAGTAGTCTCCATTATTTTTGATTACTTTGGTCCATTTTTCAGGCAACTGCAAAATTCCTGAACGAGAAAAAGATGGTGATTAACGACGCAATGAATTTAATATAAAGGCACCAAATTAGTTGCTACATTTTTTAATCTTGATTGCATACATAATCTTACACCTATATCTACAATTTATATTAGTGGAGAAAATTCCCTAAAGAATCCTACATAGACAGGTAAATTGTCATGAATTTTGCCGTGATTGCAGAGTGCCCATACTATGATCTTTAATCTTGTATGCGTATATATGTATATATGTTGAAATGCTTTCCTCTTAGTTCGCATCGGTTCCCATCGTTTATTTTTGTAATGGTTTTAATGCAAATTTGTACATCAAATTTGAATATTTTATATATGACACATCATATCATTCATAAACACAGTTATAACATTAGTAATAGCATTAAAGTCAAAAAAATGATCATAGTGATGTTTAAGTTAATTGAAATAATTTGACTACGAATAATACCGTTTGATAAATTTTGGGAAAGCATCGTTGTATACATGTATACATAATATGCATACGTAAAAGACTTTAATATGTGGAGATATGCAGATAGCTATCAAATACAGCCCGCCCATCACGAACAGGCTTGCTGCATCTCCGCTTTAGCTGCTTTTGTTGCTAAAATGAATACATATGAAGTTTTAGTATAAATATCTATTTTTGAAAAATAAAACTATTATTTTATATTACTCATATTGCCTGCCCCCCTCCCTACCTTCCCGATCTCTTCTTCGTAATTTCTTTTTCCGTCTTTCTATAGCAGCAAGTTCAACCTTTACGGAATTATACGTTTGACGTAATTCTGTTAATTTTTGTTGCAATACAGCTATTCTTTGGCTTCCATCTAATTCTGGACCTGTAATAAAATATTAAGTATAAGATTTATTTTGAATGCAAATTGAAAAAAAAAAAAAAAAAAGAAAAAATGTTATTATTTATAATTTACCGAATTCCACGTAGAAGTTGTATTTCACCTGCCTAGGTGGTCTTGATGAATAAGTGTTGAGATCTGTTACACTATTAATATTTGTGTGATTTGTAGATGTTGGATTTACTAAACATAAATTAGACCCTTCGCTTGTATCATCGCTATCACTGCCAGCGCCATTTCTGGTATGTCGACCACTTGGCCTACCAGTTTTTTTAGGAATATTTCCTCCACATTCCGAATGTTTTCTATTTCTCTTTCGTTTTTTCGGACTTTGAGTTTCTTCTACTGATCGTTTAGCTGGAGCTTTTAATGCTCTATCTCCTGAATTTCGTTCTGAATTAGTTAATATATCATCTTCAATAAATCCTTGTCCCTTGCCACCACTATCATTATCTGCTTCAGAACTATCCCTATTTAATTTCATATTATCTTCCGAAATTGGTGAAGATCCGTCAATTCTTTCCTCACGAGGAGATCCAGAAATGTTAGAAATACTTGAGTCTGGTGTTGTAGGAGGAGTATTATCCATTACCGGTGCTGCATCATTACTTTCCCGTCTTTGTGCAGGCATAAGGGCTGGTAAGTGTTGATGTTGTACTTGTTGTCGTAACCCAAGCGTAGAATTTTGCTGTATTGGCAATGCAGATGGAATAGATGTTTCAACAGGTTTTGGCAATGCCATACTAAGAGTAGCAACAGTGTTACTTGTTGTGCTTTCACCCGAAGTTGGAGCACTTGCAAAAGGCATTTCCATTAAGACAATATTAGTTTCGTTAATCTCAGCTTGTGGCGGTGAATACGAGGGTCCTGCATTGTCCTTTTCTATAATTTCAACAGGGGGAGCTGGCGAGCCTGGAATCTCTTCCTCGCAAAGTAAAGAATTAATTGTTTCCCCCTCTTCGTCTGTCTTAATATTAATAATTCCCGATATTGATTCTGATTTAAAATCAGTTATACATTCCTGCTGCTGCTGCTGCTGCTGCTGTTGTTGAGGATTTAAATTTAGTACAGGTTTAGGTGTTTGCGTTTTAGGATAGTGTTCCTGGCTATCTTGAAATTTATCTAGCTCTGCTCTCAATTTAGTATCAAAGTTAGATATAGGATCTTTTATATCTTGAGGCTCTTCGTTATCAATAACTAGCCTCTGTTCAGAATCACTACTATCGGTTGAATCCACGATTTCTTGGTTAACAACTTTTTTTCGTTTATCCTTTTCCCTCTCTTTCGAATCTTGTTCCTTAATGTCTTCCTCTATTATACTACATCCTATATTATCTTCATTTTTCCAATCATCGTCGTCTTTACTATCTTGAGTTTTTCTTTGTTCTGTAACAATTTTGATTTCTGTAAATTTTTTTAATTCAGATTCCTTCTTTAATTTTAATTGCTGAAGTTCTTCTTCCTTTTGCTTAATAACTACACACATAATGTCTCTTCTTTGCTCTTCCTCTTTCATTGTAATATCTTCTTCTTCTCGATTTCTATTATCAATTTCATGTTTCGAAATAATCTGATCTTCCTTATTCTTATGCAAGACGACACTAGTATCTATTTTTTTGGTAACTTCTTTATTAATTTTTCTTATAGTATCAGAAACTTCATCTTCTTTTGGGGTATCTTTAGTTTTATTTCTAAAAGCCATCGCTGCAGCTGATAATTTTTCTTCTATCGTAGACGTAGCAGGAAGTCTCGTGCTTATGGGAGCGGGTGTTACCACAACTGGTGACAAAATTGGCTGAATATTTATAAGTTTTGCATCAAGTGTTCTTAATTCTGGAGATAGTCTGGATACAGGCGATGACTTAACATTTTGCTTTTGCTCCAAAGCTCCTCCTGGTTTATTAACAATAACCGATAATGTTAAATCTTCCCTTATTGGGGGGTCAGCTTGAGTATTAGTTGTTCCCTTTTCCAAATCAATAGTGTCAGTTAAATCAGAAGTTGTAGTAAACATTTCTTGATGATAAGTAAATAAATTTTCTTGTTCCGTTTCGGAAACTTCAGTTTCTGATATTATTAAACGATCCTCGGAATCATCGTGAGTAACATCATCGTCGCCTGGTAAATCACTAAACAGAAGATCTATACTGTTAACTACTTTTCCAGTTTCTTCTAAATTTGTTGATGACTTACTATGACTAAATGACGACGGAGGTACGCAAAGTTTATCAAATGCCTCTTCGCACGTCAAAGATTGCGGCGGCGTTGCTGCTTGTAATGGTTTGTTAAGGGGTATTATTGTCGTATCATTAGAATCGTCAGCTCGCTTATTACTAAATAACTTTCTGCTTTTCTTATTACGAGAATCATTGTCTGAATCAGATTTCGTATCTTTGGTTATTGGGCTTGTAACTGGTTTTTGTTTTTTCTTAGGACTTTTAGGCTCCTCTTCGAACATTCTTTTCTTTATTTTGTCCTTTTCCGCGTTTGTATCTCTTTTATTTCTTACTTCAAATTCAAAAGGTTCCGGTTCTTTAAATTCATAGATATCTTCATTGCTATCTATAGGCTTTGGATTTGGAATGTTTTCTGTTTTTAATACTTCTACATTTTTGTCTATTTTCGGAGAAATTAAAGTAGAAAGATTTTCCTTTTCTTCCGTTTTAATACCATCCTCAGAATTGGGCTCAACTCTAACTAATTCTAATTTAACTGCTTTATCAAATCCTTTTAATTCAGACCTTATTTGATTAAGATCAAAATCTCTACCCTTTGGTTGCTCTTCATCGCTATCAGGTTCAGATTTGACACCTTGTACTTTAGCAAGTGTTCTTCTCAATCTACGACCTCTACGAGGTTCTTCTATATTATCTTTATCGTCCTCCCCTTCGCTAATATCCTCAGCTTTGATTCTGTCATCTCGATTTCTAACATCTCTTCGTTTTCTTTCATCTGTACCTTTGGACCTTGTTTTTGTTTGATCTGGTTCAGTTGTGTCAGACTCGTATGCTTCGCTGTCTTCATCAGTTTCTGATGGAATTGATATGTCCGTATGACCTGATGTTCTTCTAGTACGTCTACGTGGTTCAATTCCAGGAAAATCCATATTTTTGTTTGTTCTAGTTTGCCTGTTATTAGCTGGCGTTGCAGGACTCTTAGTTCTAGAACTGCTACTTGTTACAGATAATGGTGTGGTAGACCTAATGGGTTGTGTTGTTTCTTTATCCTTATCTTTTTCTTCTTTTTTAATTTCTTTAGACGACGTGGATGTAGTATTGGTAACAGGAACGACACTTTGTGCTCTACGGCGATTTTGAGATGCATTTGTTGAAACAGCATTTGTTGAAGCAGCATTTGTTGAAGCAACATTAGAAGCAGCATTTGAAACAGCATTTGAGGCTGCATTACCATTACTTTTCGAAGATTTATTGACATTACCAGAACTATTTGTACTAGGCGTTTGAGGACGGGACGTGGCTTTATTACGTTTTATTCTACCCTGAGCCTGAGTAAAATTTTGAGCAATTCTCGATGGTTTTATCCATTCATCATATCTTGTATTCCAGCCAGTATAATGTACAAGATACATTGGTTCATTACCATCTTTTTCCATATCAATGATTTTCGCTTCATATGTAACTTTAGATTCATGCGTTGGTCCATAATAAACTTTCAACCTATCACCTAATTCTACTGGACCTTTATAACAGGGTGCGGCGGACTCCCCAGGTTGTTCATCGGTTTTCGATTTTTCAGCTTCATATTCTTTACGTTTTCTACCACGTCGTTTTAATTCCTCATCCGTTAAACGTCTTTGTTTTGTTAAAGCTCTTCTCTCGGATTCCCTGGATGGTGTTCGTGTCTCCCTTGCTTCAGAAGAAGCTTTATTTTTCACTGTATCGTCCTTAGATTTAGATCTTGTTTTTGTTGCTTCTTCTTCTTTCACTTTCTCATCTTTTTTCTCTTGTTTTTTAGTTTCACTTTTTTTCTTTTCTACAACTTTCTTTTTCATATTATCCTCTTTACTCTTTAACTTTGCTCTACTTGGCACTGATGCAATTTGAGGAGAAATTTTCGGTGACTTCTCGCTACTAGATGTTTCTGGATCTGCATCAACATTTATATCACTTTCTTGACCACTTCCAACTTCATCTACATCATCTTTCTTCTTTAATTTTGATTCATCCTCTTTTAACTGTTCTTTTTTCGTTTCCTTTTTATCTTTTTTCTCATCTTCTTGTGACTTTTTCTCATCTTCCTCTTTTTCGTTCTTTGATACTGGAGCAGCAGGTGGTGGAATAGGCGTATTTCTGTCCTTATCTCTAATCAAACTTCTGCCGGGACGTTGTTTCCGTGTACTACCTCTTGGATGGTTCACCATTGTACAACCCAATTTTCTATAAAAATCTTCAAAAGAATGTAAAAATTTTTTATATGCTTGTTTCACCAAATTGTGCGTAGATGGTGAGTTTTGCATTGAAAAACTTAATCGACGTGTTATAGATTTCCATTGATTTTGATTCGTAACACGATTGTAACCACCTAATTTGTAAACTGCTCGAAATAATCTATACAAATCTATATCTTCGGAACCAATCATAGGACAATTATTTATTGGTGTTCCTCTATCGTCCATAAATTTATATAATTGGGCTACAAAGTGATCTTTTTCCTCGCGCGGCTCGTCATCTGAACTCTACAAAAATATACAATGTATATATAATAATATAATAAAAATTTACTACAAATTTTAATTAATCTAATCAAGCCATTAAATACAATACTTACATCGGAATCTAATTCTCTATCAGAATCACTATTACCACTAGAAACAGAATTTCCAAATAGTGAATCTCTATCCCAATGTGGAGGTAATTCATTTTTTTCTAAAAATAGCAATGCTTTTTCAACTGCAACTTTTAATGTACTGTTTTCAACTTTATTCACCAATTCCTTAGTAAATTCAGTTGCTTCCTTTTTCGGTACTGTGTAACTAGAAATGTGTAAAATTTAATAATAATAATAATAATAACAATAATATATACACTTTTAATATTGTAAACGCGAGATCATAATTTTGATGAATTTACGATTTGTTTCTTTTCTAATTCCGTCATAGTAACATTTCTTGCATTCCTCGTGAAACCAAGGTTTAGCAATCCTATTGCTGTTTTGGTAACTTTTTTGATCGCGATTTTTCCAAATGATCTCTGATTCCCTATCATATACACTAGTATCTGACAAATTTAATTATTATATCAAATAAATACTACTTACTATCTTGCATCCTTAAATGAACGCACCAAGTAATCATCTCTTACTCTGATTCGTACAGTATCTTGAGCAGTAGGAGCTACTACTAATCCAGGAAACCAGTTATCTTTTTTCTTTTTGTCTCCCAATTCAACACAAACAACTCGTCCAATTTCAGGCTCTGTTTCAATGCCTTCTTTTCCTCCCATATTAGATGCAAAATCACGATTTCCTCTAGGAGGGCTATCCTCATCATCGCTACTTTCATCTCTATCATAAAAACGATCAAATAATTAAACATGTATATTTTAAAAATGAGATTTTCTTATCTCTATCCTTTGTAAATATCATCTAATCTAGCTGAATATAAACAATATATTGATTGAATACTACATATGCCATCATATGCCATCATATGCCATCATTTGTCCACGCATTAACACACATGTATGTGTTCTTGTTACTAAGCATACTCTACCTAAGCACATCCAAGGAGAAATTAAACAATTTTTAAACAACAACTTTTTAAATCTTATCGAGCCTACATACTGAGCTTGCCTTGACCGTCTTCCTCTTCTTCCTCCGATAACAGGATTTCCAAAATGTTCGGGATGCGTTAAAGGAAGTTGGTCCAATGTTTCGCTTTCTGCAAAATGTCTTCCACTCTTTAAACAAAGAGCAGTTCTTCTTAAAGTAGTAATGTCTCCATCATCAAAAACTACAGTATATTGACTGCAATCTTGTATTTTGGTAATGGTAGCTTCCACAAAATCCTTCTTATCGCTATGTCTTGCCTCTACTGATGCACCGACTCTTAAAGTCCCTCTTATCTGATCATCGGTAACTGTAGCAGTTCCTAATCCTTGTTTGTAAGTTACTCGACATTTCACAGATCTTACTACCTTCCGAATCTTAGCTTCGCAGAAAGCACCTTTGTATTTAGCACTAACCTCCGTACCTACTGACAGGTACGGTGGATCGTCTCCCTACAATAAATAATCTTTAATGTATTACTTTCTATTGAAAGTGAATGACACGTTATTCAATTTTTAAGAATAATTATTGAAAACGAAATAATATGTA